ATGAAAAGATGCTCAACATCATATGCCTTGAGGGAAATTCAAATCCAGACCTCAAGGAGGCACCACGTCAGTCACTAGGATGGTTAACATTAACAAGGCTGGTGGTATCAGGTGCTGGGGACAATGTGAAGCAGCAGAACCCCGAGTGTGGAAGGGAATGGAGAGCAGGTTCTTGGGCAGTTGAACGCATGCCTCTACCCTGTGTGTCTGGTACAGCATCAACCCATTCCTTGGTATTTACCCAGGAGAAATGAAAGCCCATGTCCATACAAAGACCTGTACACAGATTTTCACTGCAGCTTTATGTGAGAAGCCGAAAACTGGGAACAACCCAAATGTCCATCAGCAGGTGAACAGATAACAAATTGTCTTACAGCTGTACTGTGGAACATGGGTCAGCATAGAAGGAATGGACTACTGACGCACGCAATAACACACGTGCATTTCAAAATAATTACACGGAGTGGGAAAGGCTAGACTTAAAAAAAAATACTGTATGGTTCCATTCATATGAAATTCTAGAAAAGACGGAAAGGAGGCTGGGCGCGGTGGCTCACGCCTGTAATCCCAGCACATTGGGAGGCCGAGGCAGGCGTATCAGAAGGTTAAGAGATCGAGACCATCGTGGCCAACATGATGAAACCCCGTCTCTACTAAAAATACCAAAAAAAAAATTAGCCGGGCTTGGTGGTGCGTGCCTGTAGTCCCAGCTACTTGGGAGGCTGAGGCAGGAAAATTGCTTGAAACTGGAAAACAAAAGTTGCTGTGAGCTAGGATCGCGCCACTGCACTCCAGCCTGGGATAAAGCGAGACTCAGTCTAAAAAAAAAAAAAAAAAAAAAAAAAGACAGAAAGGAGATAAAGGTTTCCTGGGGTGTTGAGGTAGGAGCGAGGAGAGGCAGAAGGGAAAGATTGCAAAAAGCATAAAGTAACTTTGTGGATGAGAGATCAATGGTCATATTGATTGTGGTCGTGGTTTTATAGGTGTGTCAAAACTTTAATTGTACACTTGAAATATGCGTGCTTTTTTATGACAACTATACATCAACAAAGTTGCAAAAAAGTAAATAGTGACAACGCAAAGAAAAGGCAACAAAGAGCCTTGCGTTTGGCAGTGTCATAGGTGCCTTGCTCGCTGATTCAGGGCCAGGCGTGGTGGCGGCCAGACTGTGGGAGCTGTGTCCAGAACTTCTGATTCCAGAATCATGGCCAACTACACATTTCCCGAAAAGCTCCTCACTACAAAAGCTAAACCTAAAAGTAAAACATAGCATCCAACCAATCTTTAGTTGAGTTCACACACTCAAAAGAAATTCCCAGGACAAAAAAGGAAGGGAGAGTTTAAAAAGTATGGAATTCAGTGGGAGGTAGAACCCCAGGGAGAGCAGTGATCACAGAGGCACTCACCAGCCATACTTGGTTAAAAGTGACTGAAAGATTGAATTCGGAAAAATCCAGCTATATGTTGGTTACGAAAAGTGCACTTTAAGGAACACTGAAAAATTGAAAATAAGAGAATGGAAAAACTACGTGGTTGGTAAGCACTAACCAAAAGAATGCTGACGTGGGTATATTAATATCAGAGGATGGCCTTTAAAGGAAAAGTCTTTCTTAGGGCTAAGAAAGTAAGAGCCTTTATTACTACTGGTAATAAAGGAGCCACTCAGAGGGAGAGGTAACAATTCTGAACTTGTTTGAGCACCTGCTCACATAAGGCTGTAACAGAATCAAAAGAGGAAACTGACAAACCACTACAACAGTGGGAGATTTCCACAGTTCCCTAATCACAGAGGAAAAACTAGTACCACTACTGAGGATTTAAACAGTCAGCCAGGTGGATCTAATGAGCCCTTGTTAACACCGCACTGACCCAGTAGAGAATGCACCATCCCTTCAAACACACATGGGACATTTGACGTTTCCAAAGCAGGACCTTGCACTATGTCATAAAGCCACTTTCAACTAATTTCAAAAAATCGGTATCACACAGATGACTCTTTGATGGCAGTGTCATTAAATAGAAATCAGAAACAAAATTGATAACTAAAACATACTTCTAATACGTCACATGTCAAAGAGAAATTAGAATTGCTGAGATAATGGACATACCATAGATGAAAACTAGTGGTTTTTAGAAAGGACACTGTCCTCATATACAAATATGAGGGAAGGGAGGGAAGCGGTGAGGTCAGGAGGCGGAGGTGGGATGCAGGGCCTGCTGGTCAGGACCGTCTTCCCCTCCGGATGGGCTGGTAGTCAGAAGTTCACCTGCTGTGGAACACTCACTGCAGCTGTTTATTACAGGAAGCGGTCTCAACATCTTGCCCTAAAGCCTCATCTAGTTATAGAATAAGACAATCAGGAAGTGCCAGGCCTGTGGCAAAATGGAGCCTGCCTGCCTCAGACTTTCAGATTTAACCCTCTCCCACCCCTGTACAAATCCTCAGCCTCAGCAGAAAGAATACTTGTTTGCTCTAGATTCCAGCCCCAGGCCATTCCCAGGACATAACCCTGGATTCACATCACTTTATGCTGAGAAATTATTTGAGGATCACTCCTGAATCAACCCAGGAAGAAAGTCTTTCTTCATAAGATTAGAATCTAATATTCAATCAAATCAATGTGGTTTTAAATGTACTTGTATTTCAGTATCTGTACACTTCAACCAATCAAACCTGCTCTTCCAGTGCAGCTGCGCAGACTACAGAAAAGAGTTATCTTAGATTGTTTTTCCCCAGAGGCTTTTATTTTCATTGAGACTGAGGGAGGCCTCTTGCAAAATATCTGGAACTCAGACAAAGGCTGGACCCTCCCCACAGCAAGATGCCAGCTCCTTCCTGACAGGCAGTGTCCTGGGCTGCAACGCTGGGCCGTGAGGGCAGAAACGAGCCCACTGGCATTTTAGTCACCAGGGTCCTGATCATTAGTCATTTGGAACTTGGGAAGTGGGATTCTCTGGGCCTGCGCATGTAAGCAATGATGCCTACATGAGTCTGGAAGGTGACATCAAGCCATGTCGATGCTGATGGCTCCAGTGTCCTGTAGACAGATCAGTTCTTGGTGTCATAGCTGGGTTGGTGAGATGAGGGGCCGCAGGGCAGGCGTCACTGAGCCGAGCACCCTGCCCGGCCTGCAGCAGCCTTCTCAGTTCACTCAGTCATGACAGCGCCCACTCACAGTTGCACAGTTCTCTGTGCTTGTCCAGGCGTGCGCACATCCGTGTCTCACTGGTCCTCACTTGACCGTGGGAGGTAGGCATGCTGAAGGCGTCTGGCCCTGCTATACAGTCAGGGGGCCTGGCCCCACGGAGGCAGCGGCCCGAGCCAGTTCCCGTGGCAGACGCCTGGTTCCTTCACTTCTCTCCTGGGATGTCCTGTACCAGCCACACAGTCCTCCTTCCAAATGGTTTGATTTTTAATGTTTCCTTTTCTATTCGCAATGCCTTTTGCTTTGCAACTTACTTGAAACTGCAGGATCATGTTACTCCTCATGCTCTACCCTGCCCCGTACAAGCCTCACACAGCACTGGCTTTTGGGTGTGTTTGTTTTTCTTCTCTCAGTTAAGAATTAAAACCAATTTTACTTTGAGAAATCTCTCATGACAAGTCCTGGGAAACCATGCCTGCGTGGGGCCGGAGGGGTGAATGGCTTCTGTACAAAGCTCGTGCAAAGGAGCCTTGGTGAGAAATGGGCTGAGTGCTTGGCCAGCTCTGGGCCTGGGGGAACTTTGGGGAGTTTGAGCATTGACTGCTGTGCACAGCAGTATGTCAGAGTTCAAGTCGTTGTATGCCCTGAGACATGCTACAGCCATGATGCCTGAGGGAAAGAAGCCAGACCCAAAAGAACATGCAGTAGTTCCCCCTTATCCAAGGTTTCAGTTACTTGAGGTCATGACTGCAGTCCTAAAATAGGTAAGTACAGCACAATAAGATTTTTTGAGAGAGACAAAGACCACTTCACATAATTTTTGTTACAGTATATTGTTATAATTGTTCTATTTTGTTAATGTTGCTGTTAATTTTTTACTGTGCCTAATAGCTTACACTTTATCATAGGTATGCATATACAGGAAGAAACAATATATATAGGGTTGGTACTGTGGGGAGTGGTTCAGGAATTGGTTTGGGGTTTTGGAACATATCCCTGTGGATGAGGGGCGCTACTGTGTATTCTGCTTATTTTAAGCTCCAGAAAAGGCAAACTAAGACCGCGTGGCAGAAAGCAGGTCATTGTGAGGAGTTGGAGGGAAGCAGGGACTGACTGGGGAGGGGCAGGGGTTTTTTGGGGAAATGGAAACAGTCTAGATTTTTATCGTGGTGGTAGGTACATAAATGTACACGTTTGTCAAATCTCATAGATCTGTGCACTTTAAATGGATGCTTGGAAATGTATATCTCAATAAGTCGTTTAAGAAATGTGTAACAAGAGAAAGAAATACTTGCACAGTTCTCTATTTTTCTTCTTGTCTTCAAAGCTTTATAACATCCCAAAATGTATTTGCAACTTGGATCATTCTCGTTTTTGTTGTTGCTCTTCTTTTTGTTTTTTGTTTTTTCGCTCTAACAAACGAAACTCAGAACACACTGCTTAAATGGAAGGGCACTGACTTTAAACCAGTTGGTTACATAAGAACAAACAATGCAGACATATTAATTTGTTCCTTCTTGCTGAAAATGTTAGGCAGAGATGCGCTTTTCGCCATGACTCGGGCAACGTATTTACACTTACTAAACACATATGCGCATTGGTCCTGTTCTGATTTTTAATGGGGTTGTTTTAAGGATGTGCTACTGTTTCTCCCTACTGTTTGGGTCTGGCTTCATCACTTGTTTTCTATGTTGATAAAAGGCAGTCCCTAGTTACCTCCCTTCCTAGGGGCACATGGGGAGCTAACGAGCCATTTCTAAGCCTTCCTCCTTCTGACGAAGGCAGGCATGGTGTAAACATGGGCACAGATGCCCTCAGGCCTTGTCTCTGACTCCTCTCTTCTTGCCCTCCCAGACTCCAGAGCCAGGTGCACACCTGCCAGGCGAAGGTGAGATTGAAGATAACCAGCTCCCCGCATCCCCTGCGGAACAAGTGGAGCAGGGATGGAGCCAGCAAACAGACCGCGATGATTCTGAGACGCTGTCCCAGCAGAGTGAAAGTCAATCAGACACAAAAACTGACCCCTTTGAAAGTGCCTCTGACACAGAGTCCTTGTCTGGGGACCTCCCAAGGGGAGACTTCCACCCTCTAAGAGGTACCCCTGGAGACATAGAAGCGCCTTGGGAATACCCTGATGTCTCAGCAACTGGAACCCCTCAGGAGCAGCATTTGACCTGTGTTCCTGGGCTTTGTGCAAAGGAAGAACTCGATTTGTCCCCTGGCTTAAAGGAAGACTCTTGCAAAAATGGGTTGCGAGCCTTTGCTGCAGTCGCTGGAGAAGAAGAGGCAGGACACCTCTGGGACTGCATGACCAGCCTGGAGCGAAAGTCTCTGCTGCCAGTGGCTCCCCAACACACAGGATGCTGCTTACAGAGGGCCACAGACAGCAGTGATCCTGAGCCAGCACAGGGGGTGGCTGTTCAAGACCTCAGAGGGCTCTCTGGTGTTTCTCTTCAGAAATCCAGGTCTGAGAGCTATCTGGGCATCCCAGTGGTCTGGCCCTTCCTTCTCTGGTGCTGTGAACTGGGTCGGAGTTGGCCACATATCCACAACAAGGCCAGGGTACCGGTGCTACCTAGCAGAGGCCCACTGGACATCGCAGCCCCTCTGGGGACCAGGACACAGAAGGAAAGTACTCTAGGCCCTTCAGGGGAGACAGAATTGCTCTGGTCCCAGCCGCACTTTGATGTCCCCAGCCAGCCTCCTTTGAGGACATCTTGCCTCCTACACACCAAGCGTCACCATAGTGCCCCAGGAACTATTGGTGACAAGAAGAGAGCATCCCCCAGACACTACTGTGGGCACACGAGGGCACTGGTCAGGGCCTGTTCCATAGCAGGGCTTTCCTTAGGGTGCCCTGAGGATCCCGTGGGACAGAATGTTGTGAAATCTGGGATCCATGTGAAGGAAGGGGGAGAAAATGAACGAGATCCAAGAACACAAAACACCCTTTCCCCTGCACCCACCCCGCTGTCTGGCCTGCTTCCTGCTTCTCAAAGTGGGGCTCCTTATCTGCAGGGTCCCTGCAAGCCTAGTGGGTTTCACTTGCAAAGGGCTTCTCAGCACACTCCCTCTGAAGGTCTCCTGCGGGAAAACCAGTTAGGACAGGATTCCAGGTCATGCCTGGTGGCTTCATGCCTCACTTCGGAGTTAGTGAAGCTCAATGTGGAGGAAGTGCCTGGACCCGCTGAGTGCAAGTCGGAGCAAAGCCCCGAAAGCAGAACCCAGGAACCCCAAGGCACCCAACTCACACCAAGAGCTGCTGATGAGAGAGAGAAGCAGAAGCACCTTCGGGGCATTTCTGTAGAGGCAGGAAACCACACCAGTAATTACACATCAAAGTATGTGCTCAGAGGGGAACGCAAGCCACCTACTAGGGCCAAGTTCCCACGGCAGCCTAGCAGTGAGGGGACCCAGGTGTGGAGTGGAGACCTGATGGGCTGCTCGGAAGTGAGTCACAGTTCAGATGCCCCAGAGACCACCCAGACGTCAAGTGCAATAGACACTTCAAAGGCAGCCGAAGAGGCCACGGTTCTAGACCCCAACTACAGGGAACAGGCCTTGCAAGGTCTTTCAGAATTCAGGGCAGCCACGGTGTCCCACTGCAGCCCTGGGGCTGAGGGGGCTGAACAGGGGGCTGGGGGTCCTCGGGGCCGGCAGCTGGAGCCCAAAGCAGGCAGCGAGGCCTCCCGGGGCAGGGGTGCTCTCATCATTGTATCTGTGGAGCAGAAAGGTCTTCAGGCCACCAGGAGGAATGCGGGGCCCCTTCTAGAAACACTGCCCCGTGACTTTCCTGAGGAAAGACCCGGATCTCCCCTGAGAACTGGCGAAACCCCCTGTAAGTCTCCCACGGCGAGGAAAACAGCCGGTGGCGATGAGTGTGAGCTGCCAGCAGCCCCCACACAGGGAGCTGGCGAGGGGGCTCTTCAGCCGGTGGCCCCGGCAGCAGAGCTTGGGAGGGTGCTGGTCCCCCAAGGTGCTTCGGGTGGGACGCCAAGCACAGAGGAGCCCCCGCGGGAGACACTGCGTGGGGACCGTCAGAGCCCCGGGCGGGGGGCCTGCGGCGCGGGGGAGGCCCTGGAGGGCGGCGCTGCAGCAGCCCCCGCGCTCCCGCCGTCCCCGCCGCCTTGTGGGCTCCTCAGGGCGCAGGAGCCGGGGAAGCGCAGGACGTTTTCCAAGGTGACCTCCTTCAGGAGGAGCAGGCCCTTGGCGGCTCAGAGCCTGGGAGGGGTCCCGGCCCCGACCGCCCAGGGCCGCAGGGGGCGCTCTTCGGGCCCGGAGGGGGTCCCCGCGGAGAGTCCGCCCGCCGTGGCCCGGCCCGAGCTCGCCCCGCAGGCGGCAGGCGACGGCACCGCGGGCCCGGCAGGAGCTGGGCGCACGGGGACCACAGCGGGCGCCGGCAGCCCGGGGCCCTTCTCTGAGAGCTGCAACACAAGGAGACTCAGAACAACGGAGAAGAAGCTCAGGGCAAGGCTGGCCTTGGCTCATAAGACCTTTTCTAACTTCTTTGAGTCCAGAGTTTTAGAGAAAGAGAACACCCGTGAGCGTTCCCCGGGTTCTCCCAAGGGCGAGAAGGAGAAGGGCAGGACGCGCCAGGGTTCCTGGCGGGCGTTTCTGAAAAGCAAAGACGCCGAAAGCCCCAAGAAGCCCGCCCTCGGGAGTCCGCTGCCAGGACCCGAAATTCTTTCCCCAGCGGAGACCGACGGCCACGGTGAGGACCGGGCCGAGGACAAAGAAGGCTATGTTTTCAGGGATCACTGGGCGCCCTCGCTGGCCCCCACACCTTTGTCCGCCAGCAGCTTAGTTCCTCCGGAGCACAGGCGGAAAAGTGAGCCGACCATCAAGTGCACGGCCGCCCAGGAAGGCGGTGGGTACCTGCCTTCAGGGATCTTTCCTGAAAAGTCCTGGCTGGCGCCCCCCGGCAGTCCTCGGGCCCAGCGGGCTGGAATCGCGCACACCGTGCCCTCCAGCTCTGCCTGCTGCCTGGCCTATGAGAGCCCCGGCACGCCCTGCAGACCCACCAGCCCCAAGCCCCTGAGTCCCAGGCCTAGTGCTCAGCGGGCGGATCTCCACTACCCCGGGAGGGGTGGCGCCATCTCCATGGTTTCTCTTGGAAGCTGCAGCTACTTGGACAGCAGTTCAGAGGACCCTGAAAGACCCAAGATTCCCAAGGCCCGGACCAGCCTCCTGCTTTCTCTGCAGACGCTAAACCAGGATGAGCAGAAGCAAGGGAACAGGGAAGGAGGCCCGCGTACGCGCGGCCTGGGCGCACCGCCCTGGCTCAGGAGCCTTCCTGGGAGCGAGGTGAGTATCCGAATCGCACCAAGCCTCTGTTGACCTCTTCAGACAAGAGAAGGAGGGGGCAGGCAGGAATCTTCCTAAGGTGGGGGGAAAGGTAAAGTAAGAAGGTCAAACCAAAATTGCCCTGTTACACTCCCAGTCTCTACCCCCTCCCCTCCACACCAAGTGAACACAGCGTGTGATCAATTTCTTAAACATTACCAAGCTAAGAAGCAGGAATTGGCATTTCATGGTCATGTCATGCTGTGGTTTTCTTAAATTTCAAGCCATCTCAATTTTCTTTTCTATTAACTGCCTGCTCCCTAGGCACTGCCCGTTTTCTATTGAACGGTCTGTGCAGGCTTTTGTGTTAAACCTAGTCTTCCTCCACTGCGGCATTTTTAAAAATTCCCCGTGTTGTCTTCTAGTAGTTTAATGGCTTCTATTTCATCTTATTTAGAATTTGATCCAATGGGACTTATTTAGTATAGAGACAGGAATTGTTGGTGCTTCTGAAATGTTTAGTGTCGTAAGATGGTCTCTCCCGCAAAGCGGCCGCTTCTGCCGGGGATAGGTTAGCAGGGGCAGGCACAGGATAAAGCAGACAAGGGTGGGATTTCTCATCCCGGCTGCCCTTGGAAGGAGGGAGCTTTTCTGGAAATTCCAGAAAGAGAATGCCCTGGAGACTGTGAAAAGTTAAAAGTAAGGCTCCCTTCGCTTCTTTAGACCAAGCGTCTCCTGCGGGGATCACAGGTCACAGCCTCCCCATGCAGTGGCCTCTCGGGCACTCCCCTCCATCTGCAGGCAGATGTCAGCTACTCCTGAGCTCCCGCGCTGCGCGGTTGGTTGGGCGACAGAAAAGGTGCTGGCAGAGCGCCTCCAGGCTCGGTGGGCTGCTAAGAGGGGCCGAGCGGGGTGAAAAGGGGTTTCCCAGCGGAGCATCCTTACAAGGCTGAGTGGACCGCGGACATTCAAATAGGATCACTACCAGCAGGAAACCGCTTTACCTCCCCAGCCTATTTCCGCATCTGTACGCAGTTAAACATTGAAGATTTTGATTTTCTCATTTGGGGTTACTTTTTTTCATTACTATTACTACTAAAATTAAAAAAAAAAAAGTCAAACAATACAGATGTAGAAAGGAAAAGGCCTCTCCCCAAAACCTTCCAATTCCACTCCACTGAAATAACAGTGCAGTATGCTAAGGTGTCTCATCTTTCATTGTGCTCTCACACAGCGCTTATGGGGCGGTTTGGGGAGAGGGAGTCCCACGGGGGTGTCAGAGCTATACATTTCTCTGCATCTTTCTCGCTTGCTTAACAGCAGCTACAGTGCTCCAGCGCCTCATATTCATGGCTCTGTTGAGAAGTCGCATAGCAGTTCACAGTATGGCTAAGCTGTATTTCCTTTACGGTTTTCCTGCTGATTCTAGTTTAGGGTCGTTAATAAATAATGCTGCAGCAGCACCCCAGCGCACGTATTCTTAGACAGAAGGGTAGGTGTATTTTAATAGCTTTGATTACTTCTGAAATGACTGTGGCAATTAACACTCAGCAGCAGTCTCTGAATGCCCATTTCCTCACACCCTTCCAACTTAGTTGCCTATTGCCCTTCTATATTTTTGATCATCTGAAAATACACCGAGAACTTGATTTAAAAGTAAAAAGACATTTTAGTGTTAGGTAACTCAGAGTTAAATCAAGTAGTCAAAAAAAGATTTTACAGTATTTGAATTAACAAGCTTGATGTAATAGTGATATATAAGTGTCTGTGTGTGTCTGTATATATATATATATATATATATATATATATATATATACACACACACACATGCACACACATACGAGGTGCATAAGCACCTACTGGAAGACAGATATTCCTGGAGGCGGTCCCCGTACTCACTTGACATTGTGCACGGATGGAACAGGTGTGTTGGGTCTCAGGCACACACCTGGACAGTTTGCTTGGTTTGTTGGGGTTTTTGTTTTTTGTTTGTTTGTTTGTTTGTTTGTTTGTTTGTTTGTTTGTTTTGTTTGATTCAGGGTCTTGCTCTGTCTCCCAGGCTGGAATGCAGTGGCGAGATCACGGCTCACTGCAGCCTGGATCTCCCAGGCTCAAGCAATCCTCCTGCCTCAGCCTCCCAAGTAGCTGAGCCCCCACACATGCATCACCACACCCAGATAATTCTTTAATTTTTTGTAGAGATGGAGTCTCGCCATGTTGCCCCAGCTGAAGTAGTCATGGGTTTTAACAAACAGTAAGTGAGAAGATAATTGTAAAGTATCCAGCAAAGGGCCAGGCATGAAGCAGGTGCCCGATAAACGTTGAGTTCCTATTCCTCTTTCCGTTTCACTCCTTACTGGAGAAGAGGAAGGCCTAGTACACTGCACATCAGATCATAGACAAAATAGGAGGTACACAGGGAACAGGGAGGGAAGCAAGCTTGGAAAGGCTCCCTCTGGCTGGTGGAACCCTGGATTGTGCTGGAATAGGAAACTCCCCTTGGGGAAATGACTGCGCCATCTTGTGGACATTCCTGGGAGAGCAGGCTCTGAAGGTCAGTAATTTGCAAGGAATTCAGTCAGCATTCCCACTTCTTCCCTGCACAACGGTATTAAGGAGTGGCATTCTCTTATCCCAATCTTTTACAACAACCATTCTTAATATTTTGTTGTTTTCTTCTAGATTTATTTCACAAAAAAGTTTTATAAATTTAATACGGCTGTGATAATATCATGTATAGAGATCTTAATTTTCTCTGATTTTACATCCTCCGGTTTTTTTAAAAGTTTTTTTAAAGTCGAGAAATAGAGAAGTCAAACAGAATAGCAGAATGCATAACTGTGTAGATATATATTGTCCACACACACCGGATGACCTCCACCGCGTCATGAAATGCCACATGCCCCACACTGCCCCCTTTCTGCTGCCTCCCTTCCTCCTGTCTGCCCTACCCTCTACGCCTCACCTCGTGGTGTTTACTTGCCATTATCATGTTACTACCATGGGTGTGGGGGGTTGCCTGTTTGGAGCTTTATATAAATAAAACCTTACGCATTCCTCTAAACCTTACTCAGTCTATTTTGTCTCTGCCTTCTCCTGCTAATTATGAATCATCCTGTGCCGCAAATCTCCAGTTCTCTCATCATCGTGTTGAATTTCTCTGAATCATCACAACACAGTGTGTTCCTCAGTGAGCTGCTGATGGACTTGGGGGTTGTGCCCAGTTTGGGGCTGCTGTGAATCTTTGGGTCAGGGGCCTGCTGCACGTGCATGTGTATTTCCGTGGGGTGCATTTTTAGGGGTTGCATGGTTGTATCCTTGGGGGATGCATATCTTCAGTCTTACTAATTACTGTCGAGTTATTTTTCCAAAGTGATTGCATCAAATTATATTCTGTCATTAGGAGTATCCTTTGCTCTGTGTTCTCATTCACATTTGGTTGATACTGTCAGCCTTTTTAATTTTAACCATTCTGCTAGGTGTGTAGCAGTACCTCACTGTGATTTTAATTTTCATTTTCTTGATGTCTGAAGAAGCTAAGGAATTTTCGTTTTTGCTTTTTGAGCCTGAGTCTTCCTCTGTGACTGAGGCTGGAGTGCAGTGGTGTGATCTCAGCTCACTGCAACCTCCACTTCCCGGGTTCAAGTGATTCTCTTGCCTCAGCCTCCCGAGTAGCTGGGACTACAGGCACCTGCCACCGTGCCTGGCTAATTTTTGTATTTTTAGTATGTTGGTCAGGCTGGTCTCGAATTCCTGAGCTCAAGTGATCCACCCACATCAGCGTTTCAAAGTACTGGGATTACAGGTGTGAGCCACTGCACCCGGCCTAAGGAATTTTTTATATGCTTTTTACACTCTGGATACCCTTGTCAAACTAAAATAATTTTTAAAAAGGTCAGAATCAAGTTTTAAAAGAGTTTATTCAGCACAGAGGTTAAGGACTGCAGTCCAGGACACACTTCCAAGTTGCCTTGGAGAGTGCTCCAGAAAACAAAAGAGAGGCTCAATTTTTTTAAAGAAATAAAGGAGGAATCAGGAGAGGGAATGAGAACAAAAGTTGTTTATCAGGAATTCTCATTGGTTTATGGAAGTAACACTGGCTGGTGATTGGCTGTACCTTGTTGAACTATAAGGTGTTTGGCATTTTATGGCTACTCAGAGTGAGTTAGTCTAGAGCCCATATAACGAGTGGCTCCAAGAGGAAGCTAATTAGCTGAAGGGAGAGTGAGATGTGACTGCTGTTACATCTTAAATGCCTTTTGGGCCTGATAATTTAAAGGGCTCACATTCCTCTGATAATTTTTTTTTCCTCACCCTCTTGTGGGACATGTCCGTCCTAGTCTGTCATCCATTTGTTTTGGGGTTTTCTCTTACTGATGCTGGGGTTTTCTCTTACTGATAGAATTGCATTATTGGTAAATGCGCCACAAATACTTCCCACTTCATGTGGCTTACCTGTTCCCTGTTTAATGATACCTTTTTTTTTTTCTTTTTTTTTTCTTTTTTTTGACACAGAGTCTTGCTGGAGTGCAGTGGCACGATCTTGGCTCACTGCAACTTCCTCTTCCCAGGTTCAAGCAATTCTCCTGTCTCAGCCTCCCAAGTAGCTGAGACTACAGGGGAGAGTCACCACGCCCAGCTAATTTTTGTATTTTTAGTAGAGATGGGTTTCACCATATTGGCCAGGGTGGTCTCAAACTCCTGAGCTCAAGTGATCCACCTGCCTTGGCCTCCCAAAGTGCTGGGATTACAGGCGTGAGCCACCACGCCCAACCATGTTGTCACCATAATGGTATCTTTTGATGAACAGAAATTCTCAATTTTAATGTCAAATGTATCCATCTTTTCTCTACCCCAAGATCATGAAAAGAATCCCTTAAATTACCTTCTTAAAAACTTTCACGGTCTTGCTTATAACATGTAGGTGTCTGAGATGCCTATAACTGGCATTTGTGTTCCATTTGTCTGTTTATCCATCTTTGTACTGACACAGTATCCTAATCACTGTAGCTGTACAGTAA